CGCTCTTCAGAGAACCAATGAGTAACATCACGGAAGGTTTATTCATCTTTCATATACTCTGAATAGTCTAAACTTAATTAGCAAGTAAGCCTAAATTTGTGGTGAACTAGTTATTTTAAAAATGCATATTTTGTAGGCATTAGTGAACTAGCCTACATTTTGAAATACAAAAAAAAAAAGTTGCTGTAGTTACTGTAAAAATAAAAAAAAACAAACGCTGTAACCATAATCTGGCCAATGCTGAGTAGGTTCCAGCCCCTTTGTAGGTCTTAAGACATGAGATAAGAACTGGCTCAGTATCCAAATAAGATATGACCGAGCCACTCTGGGAGCAGTAGGAATTTAATTTCTCTTATTGCTGATATGTGACTCTCTAAGACAGAAAGGCCTAAATGAAAGGGGTGAAAGGGATTGTGGGAGTTGTGAGAGAAAAACAAAGCAAGATAATGAGACTAAGAAGGAAATTGCAAGGAGCAAGAACGGTATGCACAAGGTATTTGGAAACTGAGAGAAAGTAATACAGAGGCAGCAGGAAACATAGTGAAGAAGGAAGGAAGGAGTAAGGGAAATGGAGAGTGGGAGAAAAAACAAACCAACAAGCAAGAGATGAGAGAAATGGACAAGGGGCCTTCATATTGATACAATCTGCCAGGAAATAATAAAACGAGTGAGTGAATACAAAAACCTAATTTCACGTAATGAGCATTCTAATCAAGAGATTACATTATCTCACACTGCGGAGAGGGGAGAGTAGAGCCCCTGGAAACTGGGTGTTGGCAGTGGTCACACGCTGGGGAATGGCTTAATGCGGAGCTATTACAGTACATGCCTATGCACATTAACACCCAGTCGCAAGACAAGGTAATGGTACTGTTTGCAATTTCCTAGTTTTCTCCATAAATTGGTCATGAAATATGATCTGATCGTCACCAAAGTCACAAATATCAACAAGCACAATATTCCTAAGCTGATAAAATACAAACAGTTATGACCTTTCATGTCTTTAGTGAACATACCCATTAAACATACAAAGTAATGGTGGAAAAAGTAATGGCAACACCAGGTTTCTGATGTCACTAAACGACAACTGGAGTCAGGTGTTAACAAACCTGGAGTTTAGTCAATGAAACCAGAATGGAGGTGTGGTTTAGAACTACCTTGACTTATAAAAACACTCAGTCGCAAGCGGCATCAGCTGTTGTGAGCCATGCCTTACCAAAACGCAAAACAACAATGCAGAATGCTCACTGAGGTAAAAAAAAAAAAAAAGAGCCCTAGAGTAACAGCTAAAGACATGAAGGATTCATTGGAGTTGGTTAACATCTCTGTTCATTAGTCAACCATACGCAAAATATGGAACAGGCAGGGTATCCATGGCAGGATGCCATGGAGGAAATCAGTGCTCCCCAAAAACAACATTGCAGCATGCCTGAAGTTTGTCAAAGACCACCTTGACACTCCACAACACTACTGGGAAAATGTCCTGAATAAAACAAAGGTAGAATTGTTTGGGAAGAATGCACAGCACTACATATGACCGCAGTGATAGGACACATCACTGGTGGGGACGAAGCAGCCTACAGGAGGGAGGTGGCCGGTCAGATGTCATGGTGCAAGGACAATAATCTCAGCCTCAACACGGACAAGATGAAGGAGATGATAGCTTCAAATACCTGGGTGTCCACATCAGTGAGGACCTCACCTGGACACATAACACCACACAGCTGGTCAAGAAGGCCCAACGGCAGCTGTACTTCCTGAAGAGGCTGAGGAGGTTTGGCATGTCGCCTAGGATCCTTTGCAACTTCTACAGCTGCATCACTGTCTGGTATGGTAGCACTACTGCTATGGACCGCAAGCGCCTGCAGAGAGCGGTAAAGACTGTCAGAAGTGTGAAATGCAGGACCACTAGACTGAAAAACTCTTTCTTTCCCTCTACCATCAAACTCCTAAACAGGAGCTGACAGGAGTTTATTACCAGGAGATATGTCATGTAATGACGTACTGACGACCTGTACTGTTTACATTCTCAGTTTGCACACGCATAATTGCATGTTGACTTTTGACTACTGCACATGCAGCTCTTAATATATTCTTATATATTTTTATTATATCTCTTCATTTGCTGCTTTAAAGTGCCTTAGATTTTGTGTTACTTAATTATCTACTTTATATTTCATTTGTATTGTGTGGCATTCAGGTGGACAGCAAAATAAGAATTTCATTGTACAGGGAAATGCGTTTCCGTACTGTGCATATAACAATAAACACTTTATGTTCATCATTTCATATCAAACACTTTGATATGATCAAAGTCAACTCTTTGACTTTGATAAGATGTAAAAAGAGAACAGCATCCCAACAGTGAAGTATGGTGGAGGGAGCATTATGATGTAATGCTGCTTTGCTGCCTCTGGACCTGGACACGTGGAGAAGAAATTGAATTCCAAAGTGTCCTACAGGACTGTCCACAAGCTGAAGCTCAGAACAAGCTGGGTGATGCAGCAGGACAGTGACCCTAAACATTGAAGTAAATCTACTACAAAATGGCTTTGGAGACACAAAATCCACCTTTTGGAGTGGCCCACTCAGAACAGAGACCTCAACCCAATATAGATGCTGTGGAATGACCTCACACCAGACGTCCTAAGAATATGGCTGAGCTTGAAGTAGTGACCAATTTATGCAGAAAACCAGGAAACTGCAAATAATGCCATTACTTTTTTCTTGCAACTGTAGACGCACCTCAACACTCCTGTATTTATGCATCAAAGTATACCAGAAACTGAAGTTATGAGAAACAGATGACTTGTGGTGCAAAGACAGGCTTTCAATTAGACTGCGCACCTTTATAATAAGAAAAAATACTGGTGTGTTTAGGGAAAAAAACAACACTGATCTTGCTATCAATTACAAAGATGACAATCAAAACATTCTGGTTTTCAGATTACAGAAAATTTGCATCCAGCGGAACATTCCTCTCCTAAAACATCAAGTTCTTATCTTGTACATTCATAAATTGTACATCTGAGTAATAGACATATACGAAAAACCTAAAATGAATGAAGAAGCACATCATCCTTTTTATTTGAATCATACTCACACAAGTTCAAGCGTGGTTATACACATGAGAAATGTTTCAGTAACAAGCAATAAATAAAAAGACAACTCCCAGTGAAGGAGCCATCCTTGTGGGGACCAGAAGCTAGTCCCCACAGTGTGAGTATGTTAACAGGTTTCGATCCTCATGATGTAAGTAATACAAAGGCACACCCATGCACACACACACACACACACACACACACACAAACAGCAAGTGCCACAGAACTTCCTCCGAGATTGACCATAGGTCAGTTCAACAGCTGCTCATCCCTTCAACCAATCAAACAGGAGCAGGGAGCAACAACCCAGCATGAATACACACCAATTAAAGAACCTAAAATTAATCCAAGAAATGAAGCTTCTCCTGTCTTTTTCTCAGGCTCTTCTTGCTGACAGATTGAATACCATCCATCACACTTCTCTACTGATTAATTTACTGTAAAGGAAAGTAAATTAAATCAGTGTTTTATAAGAAAAGAGTGGAAAATAAATCAAGGATGACCGTGTCTCTGTGGCAGTGAATAAAAATAAGAGCCTGAGGGTACACCAGCAAGGGAAGACAAACAAACAGCTCCGAGTTAACTAAGAAAGCATCTTGCGTATTTTTCAAGTTTGTGCTCACTGGACTGGAAGACATCTGAGATCTGTAAGGCTTAATATTTGTTTTTAGTACCCTCTTTTTCATGTTTGCACAAGAGACTGTCATAAATCTTCCTCAAACATGTACAAACAACATATTGCATATCAGTTGTCTGGGTACATTTATTTATTCAGTGTTCTTCACAACTGACCTGCAGCACTGTCTGGATTTTGGCAGAAACATCCGCTTGGTCGTAGAGCTTGATTCCCTCTTCATAGGCCCCGCCTGGGCATTGCACTGCAATCCGCTGCAGGTGAGTCAATACCACACTGTGAGCCTGGGCCACTGCCTTGAACTTATCAAACAAAAGTTCCAACAGGTCCAGCAGCAACCTGCAGAGGAAGCCAGACAGAGGACAGCATGAGAAACATGAAGAACAGAGAGCAGGGGGGGATAAATGAGTTAATAATAATATTTAACAGAAACAAAACAAATGGTTCTGTCTGTCACAAGAGCAAAGAAATGCGAGCAGTACTTCATTCACTAGATATGGAAACATATCAACAGTAAGTAAAGCACTTGCTGTTGAACCACAAATGAATTAAGCTCTCTTTGAATATTGGAAGGAGAGGAAAGTAAGTTTTATCAATCACCATTGACTAATAAAAACTCTACACATCCCAGAATACCACCATAGTTCCAAATCCCTTTCACATTATTCATAGTATAACAGCTGAGAAACACTGATAAGTGGTGCCACTAACCTCTAAATAGCATCCAAATACCATTTTTCCTAACATGATTTTATAACAACGCAGTCCCTGCATGTATATCAACAGTACAGTATACTGTACCAATGTAAGGAGATCATGGTGCGTCTCCAGATTCTGCTTGGCCTTAAATTTGGTTTTATGTACACAGATATATTTTCCTAACCAATAAAACAATCCCTTTTGCTATGCATTCATATATTCACCTACATAAGGTAAACAGCGTGTAACTGAAAAAATGGCTTGAACTTAAGACTTGAGATAAAGTACCTGTAAACTAAAGGCAAAACTAAGATTGTCTAAAAGATAAAAGGGAAAAATAATAAACAGCAACAAATAATAATTATCTAACACTGAATGGATTTCACTTTACAACTTAGGTACCACAGTTCCCAGTTTTCATTCCAAGTTTCCTATTCAAGAGATTCTAACAGATATTTTTCCTGTAGTAAAGACTTAGCGCCTGGGCTTGCAGCTCAACAAGAAGTGAACTGCCGAACCTGGACCCAAAAGAGCAACTACTGTCATTAGTTCTAAATGGCTCTGGCTGAGGAAGAGAGTGCAGCCAAAACTAAATTGACCTTCCACTTGCTCTGAGTGCTACACTCTGGATTGGAAACTCACAGTTGCCTCATCTACACTAATGCTTTCATACAAACTTTGCCATATCTGCTTTCTACACAAGGGCAAAGCTTTTAGAGTAAAGGTTACATTAGTTGAGCCTGCATGAGTACACAGTACACCTATGTCAGTGAGTGCCCACTTTATTTTAGTGGGGATATTAGAGTTAATATGAATGTAGTCACAGTGTTTGTCTAATAATGGTCTTTTAGTTCCCTCCTCTGGTATTTCACTTGGGTTTTTTTTAAATTAAGTAACACTAAAACATATTTTTCTTTTGTAGGTTGCTACAGCTTAAAAGTTGTCTTTTGACAGACCTATAGCAAGGTAGATTTATAGAAATCTTTCCTTTCTATGCAGCTAAACAGTTAGGAAGTTTTTTATATGTAAATCTTAGATATTATACACTTTGTGAAAATAGTAACGCTCCAAATCATGTATGTAATCGTGCAATTTTGAGCTGCCCAGAAACTGTGTCAGTGTTCCTCTGGGACCTTACCCCATAAGCCTCAACTCTAACTTAATATTACCTGCACTTTCCAATCAGCTTCTCTGCTGATTTAATTTAAAAACAAAATTGGAGACGAGTCAGGTGTTTAACTATTAAATGATACAAAAAAAAATCACAGCTATAATTGCCTGAAGTACAACTAAACAGAATAAAAAGCTGTGCCTGCCAAAAACATAAGACTGTCTATTATGTATGCTCAAAAGCACCAGAGCCCATACCTCATTACTGCCAAGTCAATACAAATTACCACTGACTTAAATGCTGCAAGAAAGGAAAGCATGCTAAAAGTTCTGGGAAGTGGCCAAGGCTTCCTGGGAAGGTATAAGGATAATGTAGAAGCAAGATGGATGTTTCACCAGGGGGCATTTTGGTTGGATGTCTGTCACTACAGTGGCAGTAGCAGCGAGTAAATGTTATTAATGGAGAGGGAAGTAGGCACAAATCACTATGAGCTATAACTCAGTGAATGGAAGAGACGCAGAGAGAAGCTGCGAAATGCCAATGAGCAGGGGAATATCTCTCTCTCTTTCTCTCACTTTCTCTCATGTATAAACATAAAGGATGGACAAAAATGGATATGGAGCGAACAGCAACCTTAAGAAATGGACTAATACATGATCATGTATGACTGCATAGAGTTTAATTTACAACTCTTACTTCAATAGCTCTTCGTTTTGTTCAATCTGTAAGCACACTCCAATCTGACTTACCATAACCTTGAACATAATCACTACTTGCCTAATACCTAACCCATGTCATCACTCTAAAATTCTGTGACTTGCATGGTGGGGACCAGCATTTGGTCCACACAAAGAAGGCTGAGTCCACACAGTGTGAGTGTGTAAACAGGTTTTGCCCCCAATGTGTAATACCACACACACACACACACACACACAGACAGACAGACAGTCCTTCTCATTATCTCCCAGCAGAGACCATCCTAATCCATGTCGCCTGCTCTTTGAGCCCTCACTTTTCATTTCCCCTCTGGATTGAAGTTGACACGCACATGTCTGCTGAAGAGTCGGGAGAGTGCACACGTGGATCTACAGTGCCTGATTAACTGACCAACAGAACATCTGTAGTGAATCATTGCATTTTGGGAGAATGATGATAGTGCCAGCATTAGGTTATCACTAGGTTGGCTGTTAGGTACAGATTCAATTAAATTACTGTAAAAAGGAATTTACAGAATGTTGTAAGAACCCTTTAGGTCATTCTTCTGTCATAGACAAATGGACAGACAGAAAAAAAACAGTACATAAGAGACAAGCAATCAATTTCGTGATCAAGGTTTTCGTTTTTAAATTGGTTTTACAATACTTGCGCTTTTAAATTTCTTTGTTCAGTCGTGCAGTTCTTCACTTTAAATCAGTTCTTCCTTCTTCTGAGGAATTGTGATTAGATTCAGAATTTCCTATGCACTAAAAAAGAAACTGTTGCTTTTTAATGCCACTGGACGGGCTCCCAATAAACTATATAGAAGAACTAAATAGAGATTTGCGCACAACGCTGGCAGATCTTGTTCACAATTGGCAAGTCCCCACACTCCAATCTTTGCCTCCCCTGTTTTCTGTCAGTCTCTCGGTGGCCTACTATAAAATAAAGGTGATAAGTCCAGAAATAATCATAACAAATAAATATAAAGTACAGAAAGTCTGATTTGATGTAAATGAAACTGAATTACTAAGAACAATGTTGCAAGCAAATACCTTTGGTGCATAGTACAAGAACCTACATGGAGTATCTTTGTGAAAGTGAGATCTAGTGAAAGGAGGTGGAAATGAAAATGTACTTAAGTGATTGTTCACCACAGAGGACATGAATGAGAACATAAACCTCCAAGAGCAAGCCATGCACCAGCGTATTTGCTGTAAAGTACTTAAGTGTTGCCTGCTAGTCTGCACTGCTATAAAATATAGTGTGCAATATGCAAGACCATTGTTCCCTAAAACTGGTACATTGGTTGGAGTTTCCATAGCAACAAGCCCTTACTTTAAGTTGAAGTGAACATAGGCAGAACTAGGTGTTTATGCATCCAAATACAAACCTCTAAGTGTTTGCCCAAATGCGATTCTGCATGCTGCATTCTGACACAAATACCAACATGTGCAGACACACATAAGCACATGCAGGCACACTTAAGACAATCAGTAAGGAGTAGAATTGGGAATGAGCTACATGGTGGCCTATTACATTGAGGTCAGATGAAAATCTGCAAGCAACAGGAAAAGGAAAGCAGAAGAGGTCAAGCAAAACATCCCTGACAGAAAGCAAGACATTCCTCTTACATAGTTCAAGATCAATGGACTGAGACCTGTATATGTATGCCTGCAGGAGCTGATGTGACTGCTTTTAAAATGTTCACAGCAGTTGTGAAATTATTTGTATGTGTATGGGTGTGTTTAAGCGTGACTTATCTAGATTTAAAACAGCAGAAAATCTGTTTTCCTGGTCTGAGGCAGGTGTGTCTCCTGTCCTAGCCTTTACCGTGTTTCATACTTGGTTGGCTGTCTGACTATACAGACTGAGAACACATTCAAAATATGCTCTCTGCATCTAACACCAAAAATGACTAATGATTCATCCAAAATATGTCCCAAATTATAAACAGCTATAAATAATAGTAAGACTTGACAAGGAAGGTTAATGAATTCCTATCAAGAAATGTTAATATTTAAAACTTTACCAACCACTGGAGTGTCAGCACCTTGTACACAATAAAACAGGGGGATCGATTTCAAAGAGAATATCAAACCCAAAGAAAAATATGCAAGCAGGCTGCTTTAATAAAAACTCTTTTGCATAGATATGATACTAAAGGGGACTACAAGTAACAATTTATTAAGATTCTATTCAGTGGTAACAACAGTAGTTGCATACTGATGTTTATACTGATCATTTTTGGAAACATTGCAAATGCTGCTTAATTTATTTCAGGCAACCAAAAATATGACCTTCATTTTCCACAGAACTGCTTTTATTTTCCTCTTCATAGCTATGTACTCAACACACCCACCTTTCCATCTTTACTGAATAATTATTATTAATCTCCTGATTTCTCAGTTTTTTCCCCATGTTTTACTGATCTGCAGCAATCCTGACTTTTCAGAGATTTGCACTCCACTCCAAGGAGGCCAGGATATCTTAACATGGTGCTTTCTTTACACTTCATAGCATACTTTACCTTGGCTGGCTCTCCTGGGCCAGGTTTTCCCCTCTCTGGTAAGCATGGTCAGCTATCTGAGTGGTGGACCTCTTGATGATCTGCTTCAGCTCAGGTTCCAGCCGCTCCATAATGGCTTTGATGGTCTCTGGGATTTTCTTCAACTTGGCTAGAGCCTGAAGAAAAAGATCATCTTAATTGAAACACAAATGCTACAAAGACAGTGAAATAATAGCACAGCACTCAAAGGTGGATGTAACATTACGGAGGTGTAAAAATTCACAATTAACAGTGTGTGTAGTGATCAGTAATCAGTAATGTCCATGCACCTTGATGAGGATGCCCATGAACTCAGCACTGTTCTCCTCTGGATCTACCTCGGGGAGGTCAGCTTGGTTCAGCTCCCGCACATCCTGCTGCAGCTCGCGCACTGAAGAAGGTATACACACAAAGGTTAGAACATACTGTAAACACTTGTGCAATATTTCCAAGTGCACAAATCCAATTATTTCTGTGACAAATTTATATAGGCAATGATTAAAATAAGAGAAGTCCACGTTCTGTTTTGCTTTCATGCACTGCCTTTGCATCTCTGGATTACCTCAATACAATTTTAATAAAGCAACACAGTAAAACAAGTTCAATCATAGGTGCAACACACCTGCACCTAACCTTATTATCCTACCTGCTAATGTTCGTATCCAACTTGGCAGCAAAACTGAGTGGCAGCATCAAATGACGCTCTAATTTCAATTAGATAGGCCTCCCACTTCCCCATCAAAGTGCATTAAGAGAGTTAATGTTTATGGCAACTTAATGGACTTTTGGTGTACTTCCACTTTTCCCTCATTCCAACAATAGTTTGTGTAATAATAATGAAAATTACTAGCTACGAATGAGGTGCTCTAATGCTCTTGTACAAAATGGCAAGCTAGGCCACTGATTGAAGCCGGCAGCTGTGTCGTGACAGTGACCAATGTGTCAGCATGGCGGTGTACAGGCTCTTACCACCTGGTGGCAGCTAAGTGCCTGTGTTCTCTCTACGTAATGTGGGGAAAACTGTGGCTCAAGGCTTACTTTTAAGCCTACAGGGCAGGTGAACTGAATGGATATTTATTATGTATTAGTGGCATTTTGTACAATTTTGTGTGTGTGTGTCTGAGGTCATGGCACGCAATTGCATGCTGATGAGCTAAGGGAATAAAAAGAGGCAAGGTAAAAACAGAAGTGAAATGACTTTAGTGAAGCAACTAAATGCAAAAGAGAATAAGACAGTGACAAGTACAAGTTTAATAAAACAACTACCAAAAGGCACGTTGGTGCTGCATCTTACCCTTCAGGGAACCCTTGCTTATTAGTAGCCAATCAAGTGCTTATGTTGTTAATCTGTCACTGTCACACCTGAAAGGTTGCAGTAGCAATAAAGTATTATACTATATGTTGGTGGATTCTGAGTGGCAGGTACAATGTATGGAATCCATAGCACTAAAAACAACACGGTGAGTTGCTAACTTAGAATGTTAAGCGTGGGTGGTGTAAAAAGTGCCAGGCTTAATATAAAACCTCAGAAACACCAAGGGAACGCCAAGTTATTGCAGGATTAACTTTTTTCATTATCTTCTTGTTTGCGTTCTTCTGTGCTCTGCCTGGAAGGAATGCAGTGCTGCCTCTACACCCCTACAACCGAGAGAGAATTCAAACCTTCCCAAATACAGTTATAGTCAACATTATCAGTGGCTGTTAAAGTGATAGCTTACTGGTTTGGGCGTAATGAATGCTGGTCCCCTGCTGTGATGACAAAGACACTGAGTGACTGATGGTACAAAAGAAGGGACACTATGATTATAATGTTAGTGAGGGATGTATATCATGATTAGATCTGAAGATGTTATGACATATACTGCAGGAAAAGAAATGTGGGTGTACAGTATGCCTGTGTGCAAAGATGTGTGTATGTGCAATGAGGCATTTTTGTGTGTATTCAATACAATACAGTATGTGCTTGTATTTGTGAGAAGAAAATACACCGCCATAATGACTTGCAAATGGATGTAAGCCAGACTGATGCTAATGACTTGACTATCACTAAAAATATCAGCCCAGTAAAAGTAAAATTACCAACTGAAATCCACACACTTTGTTATCCAAGGATACCAACACTGCTTTGTTGTAATGTTTACCTCTATTGTTCTCCCAATGTATGGCATTTTAATAGAGAAGAAACCATTTAACATATGGCTTTTCATGAGACACCCTCATTAAATCCACATTTCTTTTTGATTTTTCCCAAGCCACCACTCCTAGTTGTGTCCATTATAACCCCTGTCTCATATAACTGAAGGACCATACATACCACTGCTGGATCCAGGTGTACTGAACTGTGATGAATCCAAAAGCTTGCGAGGGGTGGACATGCTGCTGACATCCAACACAGGCATCGGAGATGTGTCTTTGGCTGTGGACCTATAAAAAGGTTAACATCTTAGAGCAGTGATTATGAAATTTAAAAAATGAGGATATTATATTCTATGCATTCTGTTGCGTATAAATCATGACACAGCAATTGCACAAGAGGACATTAAAGATAAAAGTCTGGGCCAAAATCTTCTTATACATATACAAATGCTTTGTATGTACAAGCAAAAAAATAAAAAAATAAAAAAACAAAAATCCCACTAACCTGCCCTTCTCTAACAAAAACAAATCTACTGTTATAACAAAAAGCCTTGCATCTCAGGGTGGGATTGGTGCTGCTTTCCAATGAGCCATTTATCAAGCTTTAAAGCTGGAGGTGGAAGCAATCCAGGCCCTTTAAGTTGGGCGGTATAAACACAGTGTGCCTGCTAAGTGAGTGGGGTGTATGGAGGCTGGCTTGTTGTTAGAGGCGACACAATACTGGGAGGCCAAGACCTGTCACTGGCTGACCCTCAGTAATAAATCACTGTACCTCACCAGCCCACCACCACCATAATTACTGCACCCACACACAGACACACACACCTGTGTAAAAGTGCAAACACACTTAGGCTGAACAGCTTATACAGAACACAAGAGCATCAATAGTGTTTTTGAAGCCTCTGTGCAGCATTAGCACTAATAGGTTAGACAGCCACATCATGAAACTAAGAGACTGGCCCTTGGGTCACGAAGGCATATCTCAAGTTATTCACCTAGTGACTGCAAAACCTAATTCATCATTTGAAGCATTACGGATGTCACACAGAAAGAGCGGATGTTGCATTCTGTCATTTTATTTATTTACTACTAGTTGCTAACAACCGATATTGTCTCTCAGTAGTTTGTTCCCTGAAAACAAAACTAAAATACAAAGGGAATATTCAGATCTCTGATGCTTTTACTGTAGCACCTCTAAGTACATGTCTCCTAATTCCCTATGAACGAACTAGTGCTGTTTGCCTCTTTACAGTAAATGATGTGGAATGTTTTTGTCCGTCTCTGAAACTTCAGCTCATAAACAAAGAAGTCGAACAACATGTTTTGAAGGTCTAATTGTTTTTGTCCATAATTTGCTTGTATAGTAAATAACTGGCATGATGCACTTCATTGTCCAAGCAAAGAAATAACTTATAATGAAAGCACATCTACACAGTCTAAACTTTTCAAAAAAAGCTCTTTGAAGGCTATGTTCCGTTTGACTACGTACAGTAACAGACAAGCAATAAAGGCTGTTGGCAACCCAGTGCAAACAAACTGGGCAAAAAATGTATTTTCAACATCTTCTATGACTTAAACCTAATTCCCTGTGTCTCTCTCAACCTCGCTTTTTTATATAGAATTTTAGTGATGACATTGTAAGAAGTTATTTTTCGTGTGGACCTATGAAGAATATCTACAGGTTTGCTGAAGGTGAAGAATGTTAATCAAGGAAATCAAATTTAATTAAATGGAATCCCTTTTCCCCAACTTACTGTACCTTAAAGTCGGGCAATTAGGTTTCTGACTACCATTTGTGCTATGATGCAAGTCCTTGCACTAATCAATTCTTTCAAACAACATGAGAGAACTATTCTTGTGAGGACATCAGGGTCTGCTCACAATGGCATATAAGAAACTGACCCTTACCCTGGAGGGCGAGTAACATTTTTGTCCTTGTTCTTGTGTCCCAGGCGACTTGTGGACTTGATGTAGAGGTGTCGGTGCAGCTCATCAATGAGCACAAGGTGGATGTTGAGCTTCTTGCTGTTCAGCTCCAAGCGCAGATCTCCAAGCCCCTCCACCTGCAGCAGGGGGCCTTCCAAGGACTCCACAGCTGACACCTGCATATGACAGCATACCAGCCAAACACTAGTTAATCTAAATTTCATATTGGCCACTTTAACAATTAGTGTACCTGTTGTTTCCGCTATCTCTAAATGTAACTTATTTTGGGGGCATTCTACATGAAACCATCATGGCAGTGAAAACATGAATTACATTATTTACACAGCCAACAGTCACCTCTATTAATAATTATAATCACTCTGCCACATTTCCTTGATATTGCAACAACACACCACACTACAATTACAGGCCAATTATCTACAGGAATAAACAGCAGTGGACCTCATGCATGGTCATATTAAATACTGTCCATCCAACAACTGCATAAGGGCTATAGAGAGAATGGAATTTCAACAGGAAATTAAATATCTCATCCCACTTGCCTGTGCCCAGCGCCCCTCTGTTCATGAAGAATCTTCCCACATTAACCAAACGGAAATATGATTGTAATGATAGTCAAATTGGCCTGTCAGGCTCTTGCTCAAGATCTTCACATTTTAAATTACACCTTCTACTTCAGGTGCAAAACAAAAAGGCCCGCTTGTCAAGTTTTTGGTCCGCCAAGAAGAACAAAAGTTGCCCCAAAAAAAGAGGTTCAAATAAACACTAACCGATGCTTTATTTACCCCATTCAGTTCCCTTATCATATGGGTGTAAAATCCTCTCAAAACTAGTCACAAATGGATATCTGGAGATTTACAAAAGGTCATGGTTACCATTGTATAAAAACACATTTGTGTCTCATGATGGCCACAAATGTGTGTTCAGTAATCTACAAATAAAATCTAGATTTACAAATGTGTAAAAACAATTTTCTGGGTGTAGTTCTTTAAAATGTATTTATACATCATTAGATGCACATGCACGGATCGCCTGACACACACAGATCATGCTACGCTTGCCTGTGAGATTTTGAGAGGTTTTTCTTGCTCTGAGATCCTCAAAGGTATGATGTGTTTAATAACAGGTGGAAAACTCGGACGTTTGACTCTTCAGGCTTTTTTCACCTCCTTGACTAGACTTTAACTAAATACGTATTTTAACATGAAATATTTTGATGTCATGTGGCTTTACCTTTATTTTAATCAGAACATGCCTGTATTAAAGGCTAATATGAATATCATTTTGCAATCACTATTTAAGATAATGCCAGTCCACAGGTTATAGGTTATTTGTTCATTTTACACCCATATTATTAGGTTTAGCAGTCTTGAGGACTCCTCTCTTTTTTACACTGAGACAAACAATCACAGTGGGACTCTTAATCACTTTTAATCAACTAAAATACCTGTAATTCTTATAAATTTAACCACTTTTTATTTTTTATTTGACCTTCATATATACAGTATATAGTACATACTTTTGTGTACAATATATGAAGAAAAGATTTTCCTCCAAAAACTGAAGTAGGTAAAACTTTATTGATTCCACAGTGGGGAAATTCCAGTCCCCTGACACTCTCCTGATCCATGCATTTTTGCCTATTTTTCATTCTCACTACTTCCTTTCCCCTTTTCTGTTCTCATTAGCAGAAGCTACAGTGGTTGTGGCATTAGTTTGCAATTAAAAAAAATCTTCATGACATTAAATAAACTGTGCAAATCTGTATGCGTGTGCTTTTTTTTGTGTGTATTTCAAGGGCACTAATGGCCAGATTATAGTGTTGGAAAGCATATTTGCATGGCCAGTGCAGGCCAGAAGGGAATGGGTAGCAAGGGAGAGGACACTGGGCATGGGTCAAGTGTGTATTGATGCAAATGAGAGCCACATTAGTGACTAGATGAGCTAATGTGCTGCATGATCAGTCCTCTTTGGCTTAATAGAATAACTTGGCATGCCTGTGAGGCTTTGCTGTTCTGTGGGTGTATAAGTGTACGCATCTCTCAGATGTGTCTGTGTATGATTACATGTGTGTGATTGTATGACTGTAAATCATTTTACACTTATGTGTCTATGTCAGGGGGTTTATTTCATTACCATTGGGCTGGAATGACAGAGGAAGGCTGGGTAACAGCATTAGGGGGCCAGGCCTGTCAGCATAATGAGGGATATGAAGCCTCTAGTGAATTTGTTTTGTGGAAAAGAAGAGAAGGATATAGAGGAAAAAGCAGAAAACAGGGAGAGGACAGGAGAGAAGAAAAGCTCTCGGCTCCAAGGGGTGGGTGTCAGCAGTTGTATGTGTGTGCATCTGGGTTTTGAGATACTACTGGAACAAGGGATGGAGAGAAGAGGAGAGGAACTTTTCTAGAACCAGAGCATTTTCTCATTTTTAACCAAGCCCATGGGGCCTAGGACTGCCATTCAATAGCAGACAGATAACCTAGTCTGAATTCTAATTGTCAGCCCTTGGAGATAAGCCTCACATAAACATACAAACACACACTTTTGTTTTAATTTCTCATGGGGACTTTACACCGACTTACAGTATATTCATTTTACTCTAACATTAATCATAACCACTATTTAACTAATCCTAACCCAAAAATACACTGACTTACATGGTGGGGACCAGCAGCTGGTCCTCACAAGGAAAGCCAAGTTCCCATAATGTGAGTGTGTAAACAGGTTTTGGTCCCCACAATGCGAGTGTTGCCAGATGTGCACATATAAACAGAATGTTAGAGTACCAACAACAGTGAAGGAGGGAGAGATGGTGGCTGGGAAGTGTAATCCTGGTTAGTCTACTCATCCTGTAGTACAAGGCAAAATAAAAGGAAAGACATAGCTTTAGTGCATGTGTCTTTAAACACTAAACATTGCAGCTTTTGTTAAAGTCAGAAAGAAAGGAGAAACAGAGTAGAAGGAGAGAAAACAACACAAGGCGCATGTGAAAACCAGGGAGAAGGGTGAGTGCTAATGAGTGACAGCATGATGGGAGTAAGCCCAACAGGGACTCTCGGAGAAGTGACGCAGGCAGTATGATGTTACAGCAGAAAGACAGAGGGATGTCTTCAGAATAAACAATATATGAACACAAATATGTAGAAACTTGTGCAAAAAATTTCCTTTGAAATTTTATGTACCGTACTTTCCGGACTATAAGCCGCTACGTTTGTCGCTTCATGCACACACCCTCATCATGGACAACACACGACGAAATGCATATGATGCCGCTTCAAGTTCGAGGCGATCTATCTGGCTGTCGAAATATCTCATGTTACAACGTGGACACCTGCAGCTATGTACAACATGTTTTTTCGTCTTACATTTAGTGGGTGCAGCTTATAGTCCGGTGCGACATATAGTCCGGAAATTACGGTAAATTGAATTTCCATAGACTGTCTGAGAATCTTTTTTTTTCAAAAATGTAGTAAACATTTATGTCACTGAAAACTTGCAGGGGTGTGTGTGTGTCTGTGTGTCAAAAAGAGAGATCACAAAGTCTGGTTGTTTAGCCATCCTCCAGCTCCCCTACCAAGCATACTGCATAAACATCAAAAGAACAAAGAGTACACACATACATACACAACTGCACTTACATTATGTTCACTTTAAGTAAAAGAGCTGTACCCACTAGACTGTTCAAGGCCAGAACTGGATTGTTCAAAGGGATGAAAAGCACCAGGAAATCAATCTTAGCAGCAACACTTCAGCAACAGTGGTGTTTAAGTACTTGTTGTTATGTGTTTAAGCACAATGGGTCTCAGAAGGAACCAATTAGTATAACTTTATATGCATTTAAATATGTCAATAGGTTTTCAATAACAAGACAAAGATCTCTTCATTTTTCCATTTTGTACTTTTGTCAACTCACTTACCACCCACAAAAAACAAGACAAAACATTTTTGAAAAACCAAATCTATCCTGCAATAAATTTTTCTTTTTCTCTTTCAATCACTGTCTGTCTCTGTCTAACTGAAATACTGTACAATACACACATACAAAGATACTACTATACAACTGCAACTTTGGCCATCAGTCTACTCACCAGCCTATCTGTGGCATGAAGGTAGTGCTTGCTGGCCATATAGGCCTCCAGCTGTTGAGGCACCTGCTTGATGCTTTCAATTTCATCTAGCAGCTGGAGGACATGCTTGTGCTCAATGCCTTCTATCCACAGTTTCCTCAGCTCGTCCCTTTTGCAGTGTAGGAGCATCTTACAAGATAGGAGGTTCTCCTTCACCTGCAAGCGAGAGTTGAACTCATACAAGTGAGATAAGACTTGTCTCTGCACATTTTAGATACTGAAAAATCTCTGAACAAAAATATTTAGGAAGTGTAGAATAACTTATTCAAATGGTATCATATTCATGTGGTCAAAAGCTAAAATACAAAACGGAGTAAGAGTAAGTCACTTCTTACTCATGAATGCATACTTCAGGTACGCAAACCTAAGATTAAAATACATTTAAAAACTAACGATGACTGCACTATTTATTGATTTGAAACACTGATATAAGGAAAGCCTAAGTCATGTAACAAGATATAGTAGCTGTTCTAAACCACCTTTTGAAGAATTCTTGTGACAGCTAAAAGCATGCAAGAGTTTTTAATAACGTCAAGCGCATGCTCTTGAACTAAACGTTTCCTAGCAGGTGATGTCGGAATGGCAGTGCCTTTGCTAGGATCCTGGAACCTAATGACAAAAAAAAAACTCCATAATAGATCCTGTACATCATACGGCCTTCAGATGTAACCTTTTCTCTTCCCTTGCAACCAACTGGATTTTCTGAGCTCACTTTCATGATACAGGTGACATACTGAATATTAACTTAAATACCTGTCTTTAGAAATAAATATGAAATCAGTGTAGGGTATCTAAGAAACCCATGTGAAATCCATCCATCCATTTTCTAAACCGCTTAGTCCCACCCATGTGAAATATAAAATTGAAATAAGTGCTCATATCCGTTGAAATGTTTTGGAACACTAATGTGGAAGACATTAATAACTGCCAAGCACATTAAAAGCCCTGGACACCCATGCAGGTTTTTTCACTTCTGGATGATTGAACCTCAGGCTGAAGCTAGTCGGAGTGATGGAGGGGGTAAGGATTCTGACTTCTGCTGACCACTGATACCTAGACAGTTTTCTTCCTGGGTGAACAAGATTTGTATTAAGTTGTGTTTATTCTCTAGTTTTGGAAAATAAAAAAACCTAAAAACTCAGATGTGAGACCATTTTAATGAATGAAAAGACAAATAAACATGAATGGAAAAACACCACTCCGAGTCACCACTCTGAAATCTATCTGAAACTATTTAAACGAATTGTAGTAATGGGTTTCACCACCCGCCAGTTTCACTACATTCGGTGCCCATTTTTCAACAGTAGACTCTTCTTCCCTACCTGTTTGATCTTGTTACGGGAGCTGGTGATGCGCTCTGTGATGCTCTGGTAGGTTCTGATGGCAGTGGTGAGTTCAGCATAATGCTGAACAATCAGCTCATCCAAATCCCTATCACACGTCTCAAAGGCCTCTTCCAGACGACCCTTCTCAATCTCCCTGTCCTGCACGTCATCACTGCTGGACAAAGTTCTACATCGGGGGAAAAGGGAAGTAAAGCTAAAGCTCAACTCAGTAACCAAATTCCCATCATGAACCTGAATGAAGTATCTATCAGTGTTGGAGTGGACAGGAGCTTACATAAAGCACTGCAGGGGATTGACAATAATAGTTCATACCCCTACAGTGTAGGCAGCATAGCAACATTTAGAAAACAAAATCAAGAAAGGGCCTTTGCACTATAAAAAAAAACCTGAATATTAAGTTAAGTGATTCCTTAGCTTATAAAGACATGACTAATAGACTGTTTTTTAAGATAAACAGTAAGATTTGCTGCACGAATTAGTTTCAGATTATGACAAGCACACCCATTTCACTTCCGCTTCAAAAAGAAATTAAACTGTTGTTATAAATTATCTACATATAATGTCAAAAATAAAAATATTAAATGTGTGTGCTTTAATTTCTTTCATATAGGAAAGCAGGAAGGACGAGCCTAGCTAACAGCGTTAGCATAAGTGCTAGCTGCCAGTCCGTATCTGACGGCAAATGCGAACACAGCTCCAGAGCTGTCTGAGGTCTAATCGGCGCTGTTAACATTATATAAAGAATATGTGCAACGTTACCTTATAACAGAGATGAGAAGACCAGAAGGGTCTTTGTTTTTGCTAACAGCACTCCTATATCTCCCTATATCAGCTGCCATTTTTCCAGCTGCAACACCCAAACAGGAAGACAGAAGCATAAGGTTAGACGACGGAACTCTGGGAGTTGTAGTTTGAACGTTAAAATTGGGTCTGCAACAGTGGTGCACATTTTCTCTGACTTCCGCTTTAGTCAGGGGTAGAAATGTGAAATAAATGTGTAACTAAAGCGGACCTTTAAATAAATAAACAAATAATTCCTCTTTTTATGTTTCTCTACTCGAATGGAAACAGGTAGACTATTGTTTATGATGAAAATATTTTGGACAATAAGAAAGGTCTCAATGATAAATTGTTTCATGGCATACATCCAGTGTACTGTGCACAATGTTACAAACACTGAAAATAGTTGCTGTGTTATGATGAGTGCTAAATGGCATTTAAATGCAACACTGATGTTTTGTATACAACACAAATATCACAATAGAAAAACCATTTCATTGTGACACTTTCAGTCCCAGTCTTGAAACTGGGAGCAAAATGTTGACCAAAGATGAAAGGAGACAATGTGTGTCAGTGAGTTAATAGCCTCACCAGTTTAGAACATATAACGCTGAATATGACAGGGCTCTCCTGTGCTGTGTCTATGACAGTCTCTCCTGTACCAATGAGAATGGGAGAGGGCATTGATTCTGGAGCCAAGTAGGTCAACCTAGCAACCTGGGTCCTGACTGATGTGCTGGTGAGCTGATAAGATAACATTGTGGGTGATCTTTGTGCTTCTTCCAAAAAAAAAAGTATAAAGGATAATGCAGGAGGCACAGTTTTTTTCTTCTAAAAGCGCCTTGGTTCCCAGGTCCAAGTTTAATTTGGAGGTTCTTATCACCTTACCTTGCAGCCCATATCCCATCAATCCAGCTAATCTACTGGGCATCTTTTTCTCCAATAACACATCACCAAGGTTATTTCTTTTAGCTTCATGTGTGTTTGGAAACTAACTGATTGCTTTGACTGACTGACCTGTGTGTGACTTAAATGCAAGGTCAATAATATCTTTGTAGGACATCCCTTTATGATATGTTAATATATAGATTTAAATGCAAATGCTGCATCTAATTTACTTTGAAGAGTTTGAATAACCCAATGATGTAGTTACTTTTCCAGCTAACAAACAGCACATGATATGGATTAAAATAAGAGATAAGCAAAAGCACACATTTAAGCGGGTGCTTTTCCTTATATATGGTTCTTGTGATTGTTTTTCCATGAAAATGTGGTTAATGGAAACAGGGCATCTTGAACCCGATTTTTTTAAGTGTACATATCCAATTCAAAGCACCACCTGCATTATGATACAACACCTAAAACCCATTTAGGACCCACTATCTTTCCAGATACACTGGGTTCAAGTGATATTTTTATTGAGTAGTGTACCCAATATTGCAGAAATAATGCAGAATGAAATTAAATTAGATAAACATTTATGAATGCTGGATCAACTCAAATGTCACAAAATCAAGACAAAAACATATTGCCAATACATAATGCTTAAGAGGATGAAGCAAGATGAAAAGTATGTATGCACTCTATCCAGTTTCATGCTTGACTTTTCTGCTTATTTTGGGAACCTCATCCTGTGAAGTGATTGTTGAGTTGCCTTTAGGTATCAGCTTTATAGCAAAGACAAGCAGTTTTCTTGTGCCATGGGAAATTTTAACCTTCAACCTTATGGTTGAGAGACGACTGTTCTACCCACCGCACCACTGTCGCATCCCCAATGCAGTCAGATGGGTGAGTCTGGGTTTGGTGGATGCCGGGAGAACATAACCTGCCTGGCCACACTGTGCCAACTGTGAAGTTTTGGCGGAGGAGGGATAATGGTATGGGGCTGTTTTTCAAGGTTTGGGCTAGGCCACTTACTGGTGGAGGGCAATCTTAATGCTTCATCATACCAAGACGTTTTGGACAACACCATGCTTCCAACTTTGTGGAAACAGTTTAGGAAAGGCCCTTTTGTATTCCAGCATGAATGTGCCCCAGTGCACAAAACAAGGTCCATAAAGACATGGTTGGATGAGTTCGGTGTGGAAGAACTTGACTGGCTCGCACAGAGCCCTGACCTCAACCCCATCCAACACCTTTGGGATGAACTGGAATAGAAATTGTGAGCCAGGCCTTCTCATCCAATATTAGTGCCTGACCTCAAATGCTCTACAGAATGAATGGGCACAAATTCCTTCAGAAACACCCAAATCTTGTGAAGTGCAATGTTATTAAAGCCCCGGTAGGTGTAATGGTCATGTGTCCCAATACTTTTGTCCATATAGTGTATATGAGGGGTACTGTATGTGTTGCGTTTTGCCCGTACAGGGCTGTCAGCAATTCTGGTAAATTGTTTTATTTGTTCAAGGTATATATTGTGTAAAAGGTCTGTGAGTCCTATGGAATTTCTCAATAATGTTGCAGCATACACAGCCACAATGAATTTTTAAAAAGGTTTTTATTTATTTATGTTTGCACAGCATCCAAAGTATATATAATGCAGAAACACAAAAACACATAAATCATCAAAAGAGAGCATTATAAAAACAGTATTACGTTATTGTTATTGTTAGGACGCTGTGTAAAATATATCGAGTTTTGGGGTCTGACTCTTATGAGGTGTCATTCCTTATAATATCATTTTTTCTCGAGGTAGAAAACTGCAATTTTATGTCTTGCAAGGTTGTATGAGTTTCTGAAATGAATCTGGTATTATAAAAAATAAATAAATAATTATACAAAAAATCTGGATTCTCTTAACACACAACTTCTTCAGTAGTGACTATTTGATAAATGTTAACTTGACCTTTCTGGATTCATATAATTCACAATTGTTAATGAAATTATACACAATTGCAAATTATTACAAATAATTACAAGGGTTTAATATATGAAAAAAGATGTGCTTTTGGTCTTTTCTGTGATTGTTCTCTAAAACCACTTACTGTATGTATCAGGTTTAGTGGTGAGGTAAGGTTTAATAGCTTTTTCCTTATTTATTTGTCTTAATTTACGTTAGGAATCCATGTTTCTCTCTAACTATAATGGTTATATGTGAATGAAAAAATAAAGAGCTGAAAAGGGTGAGATGTCTCCAATAAATATTTCATAAAAATGTACATGGTCCTCTGTCACATTGTCTTCGAAGAATGGCTGGTGCTTGAAATGTTTTGTATCCTAAATACTGTACATAAACAAAGGATAAAGTTAACATCTATTCCTTGTAGAACTAAGGCGGACATACATTCTTCTACAGAACAACCTTTCCATCTGCTGGTTGCTGCCAGCTCCTCCATGCCTACGCCTACCATGTTTTGATCTTTCTCTTGTCTTTGATTATCTACCTGCTTGCCTTGGCCCTTTGGATTTATTTGTCTGTTCTGACTGACTGACTGCCTGTTACTGAATGTAAGCCTGCCTCACTAACCAGTAAAGCCTCCTTTTATTATATCAGTTCTGCTTCATGACTCTGCTTTTGTGTCCAAGAACTGTGAACAGCTGTGCTGCTGACTGTGGGATTCCATTTGTATTGTCCCACCTCCTCTGCTGAGAGGAGAGAATGGTAAATGGATTTAGTAAATTGGATAGTAATATTCAGACACTTATGGAAAATGAATGCAACAACATTAATTTCCACGATTAGATTTTCCACCATACAAATAACAAAGACACACACTTGGAAATATCATAAAGTGTTGATTGTTTATGAGATATCTAAAACAAAGTGAGGAAAGACATGGACAGTGAACAGAAAGAGATACTCCCACAGAGGTTTTTTTAAACACACAGTCAGCAGAGAAAGTTGGGAAGTACTGGTGAATGCTCAGTAAAAATCATCAATTGATGGCAGAGAAAGACAGTGGGACATGGAAACTGGATAAATGTCACAGGAGGCTTGCACAGAGCAAAAGAACATGAGAGAGCATAAGAGTGAGTGCCAGGATGTTGGAAATTCTCTTTGCAGCTCTATTTCCATTTTCAGGATCTGTCTTTGTTTTCCCTGGTGGTTTTGGCCACTTTATTTTTAAAGCATATTTTACCCATCCCATCAACGCTTCTCCCTGTTTTTCTGTCTCTCTTAATATTGTTATAGTTTCACTCTTCTCCTGTTGTCTTTTTCTCAGTTCAGGGAACAACACAAATAACAAAGGAGAGCAGTGTTTTTGTTGACACTAACTTTATAATTTATAAAAAAAAATTTTCTTTGTCTACTGATAGGTCAAACTGCTTAAATAATACATTTCTGGTGGTTGAAATGAATTTGATTAAATTTATTTAACTTGAATAATAATATGAAAATATGAAATGAAATATGAAATAATATGAAAAATAACATGCTAAACACCATTATACATATAAACAAACTAGTTTAAAGTGATTCCCAAGGTTACTCAGACTCATGGGGTACTGAACCTCAGTGGTTTTGAGTTACAACTATCATTTGACAAAAGTCCTGTAAGTCAAGAATACAACACATCATCTTATTTTAACAATTCAGCAAATGTATTTTTAAAAGCTGACAGCATAATGTCAGGTTTCTGTCCTACTGCTTCCTGTTTCAGGCTTTTATTTTGTTGCCACTTCCTGTTCTGGGTTTATCTCTGTTATGGACTCGTTATAGTAATCAGTGCTAATTACCTGCACCTGTTTTCACCTCATTATAAGCAGCCGTCTCCAATCAGTAACCTGCCATATTGTTCTTGACTTCGTACAGACATTCCAGCGTTATCCTTGCTTTCGTGATTCATGTTATTGACCCCAGATTGTTTCCTGACCACTGATTTCTGCCTAGCCCTCTGGATTGTTGTATGTTTATTGTGTGTACTGTAGAAAGAAATTCTTGATAAAATGATATAGTGCTATGTTATGTATTTGCAAAACTGTTCAAATAATTGTTTAATCTGTTTGACCTTTGGAAAGACTTGACCTGTGCACATGAAATGCTGTGCAAAGAGACTCACAACAACAGGAAACGCGTGCATGCAGAATGAGATGACTGGGCTGTCTGCAACAAGGGATGTAAGTGGGCGAAAGGTCTGATTGTGTTGAATTTATATTATCAGCATTTATCAACAATATATGAAATGCTTGGCCTTCTATAATCAATATTATAATCTGCATTAGCAAATATATCTACATGTTTATTTTAGTATCATATGCATTATAATAGTATCATATGCCTTATAATCTACTTTTGTTTTAACCATTTAATTTGTCTTAAAGAGTGTAGGAGACTTGCAGCTGACAATAGCAGAACCTGTAAGCAATCGACAGGAAACCACAACCCGGAACCAGAGCTTAGCAACGCTCTTGGTTACCAGAGTAGAGGGGAAGTGAGTAAGGGGGGCCTTCTCTAAAAACTGTCTGAGCTTAGAGCATTGAAAGGTCAGGATGTGTTCTCAGAATTTCACAGATCAAAATCTGCCTGGCGACAAGATCACCAAATGAGGGGTCAGACTGAGGTCAACAAACCAACCAAGGAGCGAGGATGAAGGACAACGCGGAGGACGTCAAATCTACCATCATTTGCATATTTGAAAACTGTATAATTGGACTGGGTTCAGGATTATAGGCGTTCCCTTGCTCTGAAGGCAAGCCGAACGGTTCTGCTGTCTAGAATTAGGGCCTCAGATAGAAATGGAACCCAGAGCTCTGTAATTGCTTTTCTTGAATATTGAGTGTAATAACCCTTCCAGACAGGTCGATGTACAGTCACCAGTTGTCGGCCATACCAACTCCTCTCAGCCTGTGTTTTCTTCCAGTAGCCTCCATCACCCACCAACCAGGAGTGACCCTGAGATGCAGCTCGGCCCACCTTTTCTAGTTCTTCACTCCACTACTCCTGCCACTGGTTGACACCCGGTCTCCCCAGTCATTCATCATCTACCTGCTTCTTGTTAATAACCACATTGCACTGTATAATATTAAATCACTGCTTGCACTGAAGTCGGCTACCTGGGTCCACCTCTCTTTCTCCATGTGCGAGCGTTTTGCATAACATCCACATATACCCTCTGACTGTGCTATTGCTCTACTGCCAGGTACTATGGCCCTTAAGGGCCGATTATTTTTCTTATCCATCCCTGAACAGGAGGCTTTGACAAACTATATTACGGAGGCCCTGAGGGTGGGGTTGATTCACCCCTCCTCCTCCCCGGCTCGGGTGGGGTTCTTTTTTTGTAGGGAAGAAGGATGGGGGGGCTATGACCCCGCATAGACTATCGTGGACTAAACAAAATCACTATTAGGAATAGGTATCCATTGCCACTCATGTCCTCAGCTTTTGAACTACTCCATAATGCTAAGATCTTCACCAAACAGGACTTACGAAACGCCTATCACCTGGTAAGAATAAAGGAGGGAGATGAATGGAAAACTGCTTTTAATACCCCCTCTGGACACTATGAGTACCTGGTTATGCTGTTCGGGCTAACCAATGCACCAGCAGTTTTTCAGAACTTGATTAATGACGTTCTGGGGGATATGTTAAACAAGTTTGTGTTTGTGTACCTTGACGACATTCTCATCTTTTCATCTTCTGAGTCTCGGCATATAACCCATGTCAGGGCAGTGTTACGATGACTGTTATAAAAGAACCTGTATGTGAAAGCAGAGAAGTGTCGTTTCCATGTGTCCACTGTATCTTTTCTAGGATTTGTTATATCCACAGGTCACATACAGATGGATCCTACTAAAGTGCAAGCAGTAGCAGCATGGCCCACACTGGTCTCCCATCAACAACTCCGACGCTTCCTGGGATTTGCCAACTTCTACAGGAAGTTCATCAAAAGCTACAGCACCATAGCGGCCCCCTCTACATAGACTCACCTCCAACACCAAATGCTTCACCTGGGACTCTTTTGCCGACTGGGCATTCATGGTCCTCAAGCAATGCTTCTGCTCTGCCCCTGTCCTCACCCTGCCCAACCCAGAGTAGCAGTTTATCGTGGAGGTTGACACTTCGGACTCCGGGGTAGGGGTGGTGCTTTCCCAGCGTGCTGCTCAGGATGGGAAATTGCACTCCTGCGCCGCCTTCTCCAAACATCTCATCCTGGCCGAGGGTAACTACTGTGTGGGTGAAAGAGAACTACTGGCCGTTAAGTTGGCATCGGAGGAGTGGAGGGTGCCAAGCACCTGTTTATGGCCTGGACCGACCACAAGAACCTAGAGTACTTATAAACAGCCAAGAGGCTGGACCCCAGACAGGCTAGGTGGGCTCTGTTCTTCGGCCAGTTTGGCTTCTCCCTCTCTTTCCGCCCAGGTCATCGCAATGGCAAGGCAGACGCACTATCTCGCCAGTACACCAAAAAGGAGGAGATCGCAGAGCTGGCTTACATCCTGTCTCAGTCTGCCTGTGTGGGGGCCGCTCTCCTCAGCATAGAACAGGAGGTCGTCAATGCCTAGGGGTCAGAACCGGGTCCGACTGGCTGCCTGACTAACCGTCTGTTTGTTCCAACTACACTGCGTGCCAAGGTGCTGCAGTGGTGTCATGCCGCCAAACTCACCTGCCATCCTGGCGTGGCACGGACCTACTACATTGTGCACAGGCGGTTTTGGTGGCCTACTGTTAAAAGGGACGTTTGGGAATTTGCAGCCTGTTCTGAATGTGCCAGGAACAAGGCTTCTAATGGTAAACCAGCGGGGCTGTTACTTCCCCTTCCTGTACCCCAGAAACCCTGGACCCACATCTCTGTGGAATTTTGTCACCGGCCTACCCACATCTCGAGGTAACACCACCATAATAACTATTTTAGACAGGTTTTCCAAAATGGTTCATTTTGTACCACTACCCAAGCTACCCTCAGCTAAAGAGGCAGCACAACTCCTTGTCCAGCATGTATTCCATTTACATGGCCTCCCCAGGGATGTGGTGTCTGACAGGGGTCCCCAGTTTGTGGCCCGGTTCTGGACTGAGTTCTGTTGGCTCCTGAGCATTACTGTTAATCTCTCTTCTGGTTTCCACCCACAGACTAATGGGCAGACTGAGCGGCTTAACCATCAACTGGAAGCTGGCCTGCGTCTCTCGTGTCACCGGGACCCGTCACTGTGGGCTGATAATGTGACCTGGGTGGAATACTCCCACAACTCCCTTAGCTCAGCAGCCACCAGTATGTCTCCTTTTGAATGCGTTTATGGTTACTCTCCACCCTTGTTTCCCAGCTTAGACCCCGAGATCCATGTGCCATCTGCCTCAGCCCTGGTCTACCGATGTCACCCAGCCTGGAGGAAAGCCCATCTAGTCCTGCGCTGCCTGGTCCAGGCCTACAAGAAGTGGGCCGACATTCACCGTTCCCGAGCTCCCACCTACCAACCCAGCCAGAAGGTCTGGCTATCTGCTCGCAACCTCCCTTTGTGCACAGAATGTTGCAAATTGTCCCCGAGGTTCGTGGGGCCTTTCCCCATCTCTAAGGTCATCAACCCTGCTGCTGTCCGCCTCCGCCTGCCCCGTACCCTTCTAGTGCATCCCACCTTTCATGTGTCCCGCATCAAACCTGTTCGGTCCAGTCCTCTGGCTCCTCCTCATGTGCCTCCTCCTCCTCCTCCTCCTCCTCCTCCTCCTCGCATCATCGACGGGGGTCCTGTCTACACCGTCCGTCGTCTCCTGCGGTCCCAGGGACGGGGACTCCAGTACCCGGTGGACTGGGAGGGTTACGGGCCGGAGGAGCGGTCCTGGGTTCCTGCCCGCCATATTGTGGACCCTTCCCTCATTCATGACTTCCATAGGGCCCATCCTGACCAGCCTGGCAGGGGTCATGGCTCCTCCGTGTAGGGGGGGTTCTGTTGTGTACTGGCCATCCCTGACACATAACCCATCAGCATGTATTTTGCTAAAATAACATTTTAGCAAAATACATGCTGATGACATGCTTTCAGTATTCTGCATTCAAAGTATATGCATGCATTTTATCAAAATATAGACTGTGATTTAGGGTTATAAGGATAGCCTGACAGATAACAGACAATACCTACCAAATATTTAAAGTAATATTTTGGTACACTGTTATTTCAGTGGACGGGTGCTGCTTGAGGTTAGGGTAAATTTGGGGTCAGATTAAAATGTGATTGAAGATTAGGTTCAGATTAAGATATGAGGAAATGCAGGTCTACAAAGAAACGTAACCTACCTCACTTACTAGTATCTACTTCCCTTTTTGGAATCTAACGCTATACCTTTTTATTTTTATTTTTTATTTTTTAATCTAACGCTATACACTGTCACAGTCCCACTCTATCGCTTACAAATAATAACCAATGAAAATCGCTAATGGAGGATAGATAACGCTTCTGTCCAATCACCATGCAAGTTCTTCAATCATCATCATGCTAAGGAAGTGTGGGCTTGCGAGTCATTGTTAAACTAGCTATACCTGATTCCAAAGCAAGTAAACTTGTTTAAAAAGAAAAGTGGATGCAAGTCTCACATTTTACATGTAGATAACCGACATTTTGGCAACCTACGGTTCGATAATGGGAGCGAATAACAGTACACGCCGCGTGTCATTTGAGTCAGATGAGAACGAGAATATAACAGTGGTGAAGGGCATACGGGTAAGTGACATTATACAAACTTGCATAATGTTGGGGAAACAGGTATTACACGACTACTTTAATCCAGTATTGGGTAAAACTGTTGTGAATTAGGCTGTAAACGTAAATCCATGCTAAGAAGAGTGATAATACAACTTATGCCTTGTCTAAAAGCAGCTCTGCTAACTTGCATTGCAATCAGGAGCAGCAGTCCGTAAACTTTTATTATTTTGAAAGCTACACAGTAGGTTAACTAAAAGAAGTACATAAGATTGCGATTAAACAACATACACCATAGTTAATGTCCTCTGCAATTGTTATGACATTTAGGCACAATAAACTTTTGAATGTGCTTTCGGGAATGTTGACGTTGACGTCACCAACCTCGTGTATTACTGCCAATGAATGGGCTGTTTAAGATGAACTGCGTTTCGCCTGGACAGCGATGAGAGCAGGCGACGGCAGCAGGTGGCACAGTGACTAAAAGCTGCAGTAAAGACGCACGTTGTAGGACCTTTCCACCAGGCTTCATGAAGGTGGAGGCTTTCCACCAGGCTTCATGATGACCTGTACATGAAGTCACAGAAATACTCACACCCTTTTTTTTTTTTTTTTTTTTTTTTCCCCCCCCCACCCTGACCTATAGGTCCCGAATCAAACTTTTCAGCTTGTAGCCTTGTAGATTTAATGTTTAATCTCCTTCTATTATTGGGAAGCTCTCAAAATGCCGATCTGTGTTCATGGATTAATCTCAATATTTTAAAAATATTTATATGAAAATTTAGACGGTTCACAATTCTCACGTAAAGCAGAGGTATGAGTTTGCTGCTGTATGTTAGCTGCCCCCAAATTGATATGATATGAAACTAAATAAATACCTTCAAGTATTAGTAATCAAAATACACAGGGAGAGAAAAGAAACACAAGACAAGCTTTTATTGTTAGTCTGTCAGAAATGTAGACTGTTACTGTAAGGCTTCATCTTTGTACAGATGTTGTTTTAAGAATCTTCACATTCCACTTATGAAAGGTTCTGTTAGTCAATAGTGAATGTTCATATTGCGATTGGAACTATCACATAATATGTGACAAACTGTCTACAGTCTGTAAGAACTATATCTAAACTAATATAATCTGGCTGTTTCTAACCTCTGTGATAAAAGTCATCATTAACTGCACATTTATTCTGTTAACAGAAAAAAATCTTCACAGTGAAAAATCAGACTAAATCCCAAGCTCTTATTGAACAACAAATATAAAGTTTCTGTAAAATGTCATGTTGTTTTTCAGTCAACACTTAGATCAGGTGAGAGCCAGCCATTTCCCATCATGCCCTGAGCTCTTTCTGTTGGTAGAGATCAAGTCGGACAGAAAACTAACCAGCATGCACTGTGCCACAATCTCTGGTGACTGATTCTATACAGATGGGACTTTTCTCAAACGTGCCTTATGCATGAAACTGACCAGGCATTCTTAATTATAGATAACGCTATCCTTGTTTAAAAAGGTTGGAAAATGTACCTGGTGTTAATGTTTGTGTTTTATTGAGATGGATTTTATTGTTAGCATGGGTGCTGTCTCCAGTGTCATTGTCAGATGATGTTAAATATAGATTGAGAGCCTTTAGCTGATAAGATGAGACTTTAGTTGGTGAGGCTCTGTCTATTATTACTCTGTTGGCAAAGCCAACCAAGAGTGGTTAGTGGTACCTTTCAGTGGGTTGTAATCCTGTTTATGCCAATGCTGCAATGTTTGTGAAAAATGGATTGGGAACAAAGCTTTGTATTCCCAGGTTAAAAACAATGTATAGCTTTTCATGGGAACATCAATTTAAAGGAATAGTTCAACAATTTGGGATATACTCAAAGCAGGGGAAAACAGATAGCCCTGACTCCTTGGAAAGTTACACAAATCTGCCTGTCAGTACTTTTAAAGCTCTCTTATTAACATGTTGTATCATATTTGTTTAATCTGTACACAAGCAGAAATGTAAAAAGTATAGATTTTAGTCAGTGTGCTGTAATTATTTAACCACATTGCAGTGTGAGAATTATGTCAAACTCTTCCTTTTAATCACTGAAATTTATCCTCCACTATTCTTTGCAGCTTTCTGAAAATGTCATCAACCGCATGAGGGAACCTGCAGCTCCTCTTAAAACCCAAAATGCTCCCACTCCTCCACCTTCCACTGCGCCTACCCTAGCTCCTTCTCCTCTCCTACGGTCAGTGCCTCTGCTATTCAACCCAGTCACCACCTTGCCTCCTCCTCTTGTAGAACCAGTTGCACCTCCAGCTCCATCTGCCACGGAGACTGTGGCTGCACCTTCACCACCACCTCCTCAACCTCCTAAAGAACAGGTAGCAGCATTCAACATAACTGAAATGGTTCTCCCATACTTATCATCTCCCTCTGCTGTTAATGTTGTTGCTGCTTCTGCTCCTGAGCCTGTGGTGGCACCTTCTCCCCTTCCTGCTGCTGTTGAGCCAGTAACTTTACCTGTTTCTCCCCCTGCTCCTATTGATCCTCTGATTCCTGCTCCCTGTCCTGCTCAGGCTACGGTGGAAGTCACCCCACTTGCTTCTCCTCCCCTTGTACTTGAACTATCACCTCTTTCCATAAATCACACCATTACTTCTCCAGTAATTGAACCCATTGCTCCTTCACATGTGATTGAATCCATTGCTCCTTCATCTGTAGCTGAACCCATACTACCTCCTCTTCCAGTAAAAATTGAGCCCATCTCTGCTTCCCCTCTTCTGAACCCCTTTCTTCACCTGCTGTTCTTGAGCCTGTCATCATCTTGCTGTCACCTGTAGAACCTGCTAAGCTATTTGCTACAACTCCCCTGCCTGAGTTTACTGCTCCTTGTGAACCAGTTGCACCTCCTCTTCAGCCACCTCTGAAGCCAGTATCCCCTGCTCCAGTCTCTGAGCCAGTGGCAGTGCCTGAATCAAGTCCAGTCCCACCACGTCATGCTGCACCAGCCGGTGAGTTTTATTTCTGCTGAAAATCAGTGTTGGCAACATATGTCGTAAACAAATGGTGATGAGAGAAGTTATGGAAAGGGAAACATGCACTAGATTTATTGCTTTTTGATGTACTGTTTTCCTTGAGAGACTGTAATATTCTGGAGCAAGATTCCACATTGTATAAAAGTGAGGATGGAGGAGTGTTTTTTTTTTTTTAAATGCCATTTGAGTTCAAAGATTGAACAGTTTGAGACCAGAAATATTTTCCACCTAAGAATTTAGCCTTTATTCGATTTGTGCAGTTGTGATTTTTGACCTCGGTGGCAGCTGGACAAACTGATTTGTTTCTTTCAGAGAGAGAGACAGGAGTGAATCCTCATTTATAAAAACTGAATAAATGAATTGTTCTTGGTAATGGCTCATTTTATCATGAAATGTATTGGGTATTTCCAATGGTTAATTAGAAAGAAAAGACTATGAGGGAATGCACTGTCTGAAGGTTTAATTTTAAGTCCATCTGCACTGAATTTTAATACTTATTGTGAGGGTGTTGACTTGAACGCTTCTTAAGCTTTTTGTGCCCAACTTTTCGTGTCGATTGTAATTAGTCTTCATTTGTAAATAGGCCTCAAGGTACAGTGCCTTGCGAAAGTATTCGGCCCCCTTGAACTTTGCGACCTTTTGCCACATTTCAGGCTTCAAACATAAAGATATAAAACTGTAATTTTTTTGTGAAGAATCAACAACAAGTGGGACACAATCATGAAGTGGAACGAAATTTATTGGATATTTCAAACTTTTTTAACAAATAAAAAACTGAAAAATTGGCCGTGCAAAATTATTCAGCCCCCTTAAGTTAATACTTTGTAGCACCACCTTTTGCTGCGATTACAGCTGTAAGTCACTTGGGGTATGTCTCTATCAGTTTTGCACATCAAGAGACTTAAATTTTGCCCATTCCTCCTTGCAAAACAGCTCGAGCTCAGTGAGGTTGGATGGAGAGCATTTGTGAACAGACCACTGCAAATCTACCAAGACCTGGCCGTCCCTCTAAACTTTCAGCTCATACAAGGAGAAGACTGATCAGAGATGCAGCCAAGAGGCCCATGATCACTCTGGATGAACTGCAGAGATCTACAGCTGAGGTGGGAGACTCTGTCCATAGGACAACAATCAGTCGTATACTGCACAAATCTGGCCTTTATGGAAGAGTGGCAAGAAGAAAGCCATTTCTTAAAGATATCCATAAAAAGTGTCGTTTAAAGTTTGCCACAAGTCACCTGGGAGACACACCAAACATGTGGAAGAAGGTGCTCTGGTCAGATGAAACCAAAATCGAACTTTTTGGCAACACTGCAAAACGTTATGTTTGGCGTAAAAGCAACACAGCTCATCACCCTGAACACACCATCCCCACTGTCAAACATGGTGGTGGCAGCATCATGGTTTGGGCCTGCTTTTCTTTAGCAGGGACAGGGAAGATGGTTAAAATTGATGGGGAGATGGATGGAGCCAAATACAGGACCATTCTGGAAGGAAACCTGATGGAGTCTGCAAAAGACCTGAGACTGGGGCGGAGATTTGTCTTCCAACAAGACACTGATCCAAAACATAAAGCAAAATCTACAATGGAATGGTTCACAGATAAACATATCCAGGTGTTAGAATGGCCAAGTCAAAGTCCAGACCTGAATCCAATCGAGAATCTGTGGAAAGAGCTGAAAACTGCTGTTCACAAACGCTCTCCATCCAACCTCACTGAGCTCGAGCTGTTTTGCAAGGCGGAATGGGCAAAAATTTCAGTCTCTCGATGTGCAAAACTGATAGAGACATACCCCAAGCGACTTACAGCTGTAATCGCAGCAAAAGGTGGCGCTACAAAGTATTAACTTAAGGGGGCTGAATAATTTTGCACGCCCAATTTTTCAGTTTTTTATTTGTTAAAGTTTGAAATATCCAATAAATTTCGTTCCACTTCATGATTGTCTCCCACTTGTTGTTGATTCTTCACAAAAAATTACAGTTTTATATCTTTATGTTTGAAGCCTGAAATGTGGCAAAAGGTCGCAAAGTTCAAGGGTGCCGAATACTTTCGCAAGGCACTGTATTATTCATTGCGTTCCCTTAACGGTGAATGAAATGATTGTTTATTGATATAATGTTAATAAATTGATGCTATAATTATTCTGCCTTGTCACCGTGTAGCAAAAACTGTCACAATAACCTTCCTGCTTCCTACAGTTGTGAGAACACAAATAGTGAGGCTAACCACAGTTGTAGTCTGTATGCATTGTTTTATTTAGGTAACTTTTCACTCAACATTTTAGTAAAGTGGCCTGAATCTGTATTTTTACTTAAAGAAAGGACCATGTCAACACACAGACAATTATCACCCAACTCTGCAGCCTCTGGGAACTTTACCGAATTCTTTTGTTTTGGGTTTCTGGCTCACAGCTTTACCGTTTTGATTCACTTTCACTGCTCTCATCAGGATCATTTTCAGCTACTGCAGGCAGCAGCTTTCACTGAATTAAAAAAAAAAACTACATTTTTCAGCTTGTCTCTACTCCCACTAACAAGTAAAACCAAACAAACAAAAAATGTTATTGCTGGGTTATAAAAAGAAAAGTAGCGACTAGGAACAGAACATAAGAAAAGACTTTTTGTTGAACTTTTTTTAAAAAAAAGCTTCTTTTGAAAATTGCTATAACTCCCATTAGAAGTGCTCCCATTAGATGAACAATGTTTTATGGTAGTTCTGAGTTGAAACACATTTTGTCATATGAAGTAAATTTGGCAACATGAACCCTGTCGCTAAAGGTGTCGAACTACAGGGTGTTGCAGGGTTAATTGAGTTGCATTGTTTTAGTTAAAACATTTATGTGAGGACTCAGACAAATTCAATTGTTTTCCTTGTCTCTCTGTCAAAGTAAAGTTTTAGCCTTACTCTCTCTATAATGTGGGCCCAAATTTTCTTTTCGGGTGACATATCTGGCAGAGGACGTTTGAATGTTACCTGGTCACTGCACACTACAGAGTGGGGCGTGGGTGCAGGTTCATCAGGGGGTGGCATCCGAGGTGCCAGCAAGTTTTTCCCATCCTTGACTGTGCTTAATCAGTGAGGTAATTAAAAAAGGCCAATTTATACCACGCCACACTGACTCCAGTGATTAAAATGACACCTCCGCAATTTCACACAGCAAACCACCAGGCCTCATTACAAAAGGAGGTGGAGGTTGTGTGTGTGTGTGTGTGTGTGTGTATTTGGCCATAGGGGTTCCATGATACGACACAGACTTTTATGTGAGCCACTTGTGTTTTTTTTTTTTTTTTTTTTTTTTTAGCCCAGAAGCACTTTTTTGTTATTGTGTGTTTTCCTATTAGCTCTGGGTCAACTGTCAGTTTCATTTTTCTCCTTGTTCAATAAAATTGTTTTTGCTAATTCATTTTCAAATGAAAAGATAAATATAACAATATGTCATTCAATTCGGTTACAAGTGGAGCATGTTGACTATAGGAAACTGCCTGCTGCTTTCACAGCACAACACAAGTGTCCATTAATGATTACAAAGTGGTCAGTTGTGGACCAAATCCTAAATTGTCTGTTAGGGGGCATGAAATTGTCTGTTCATGCCCCTTCATTTCCTTTCTTTGCTCTCTTAAGTGTTGAACAGTGATGGAAATTTTGGTAGGAGGCAAAGGTCCTTCAGGACTAATAAAAAGAAATAAAGAAAGTACTTTCTTTTTCTGACCTCTATCCAGTTGTGTGCACAGTGTTATCTGAGGTGTTCAGGATAGTGAGTATATTCTTGTATGTTGGCAGTATTTTTATGTTGCCAGACATCACCATGCTTTTTCAGTTTTGTTTTAATGCTGACTGCAAGTGTGTGTCTGAATTTTGCCACACACAGGCCTTCCTGTTGATCATGCAACAGTGTGTGTCAGCTTTTACTGAGGTATTTTGAATGTACTGTTTTTTGCAAGGTCACGTCACAGCTTAATGTGTACCAACCTCACCAAGTACTGAGAAGGAAAGGAAAAAAGCTAACTAGGATGATTGATCACGCATGCTCTTTTTAAAGAAACATAAAAAGCTGCGATAAATGTGAGTGTGAGTCTCGTTAAAAAGTTGCAAAGTTCAGCCCAATCCTGAAAGGGTATGCCCTTAATGAGGCTGGCATTGATTATGTGTGTCCACGAGAGTTGTGTATCGAGTGAGGCTCTCAGCAGGTCGACTGTCTCTAAATCATGGCCTGAGTCGGTATGTGTGCTGATTACACCATAGTCAAGGTTGAACCTCCTACACTTTTCTTCAATGTGCTATAAATATTCATATGCCACAGCCCACACACTGTGCTGGACTAATAGCCTGTTTAAAGATGTGTCCCAGGTGCGGCACAGAGAACAGGAAAATGAGAGACAGAGGAACACAATGGCAAAAAATGGGTAACTTAGTGTGTGTTTGTTGGTACTGTAAATGAAGCTTGTGAACTATATCTCTTTGCTCTTGAAACTGATTTTTATTGTTATTTTGTGAAAATGTGACATGGTCAGCTAGGTCCTTTTCCATAACATGAGTTTGAATTAACAGAAAAGAGTGTGAATAAAAGAGAAAGTTAAGAATGGCACCCACCAGCAAGTGCTGAAAGCTTGCTCTTGGTGCTTTTCTATTTTTTTATTTTCTTATTCAAGCGTAGTGAAAGGTGTGTGGTGACTCGACTAAGTGCAAGCTAGAAACGTGAGGAAGTGGTAATGTTACAGATTATGCCCTCCACGTGGGTCATGAGGTTAATGAAACTTCTGATGAGAAATGCAATTTGCCTTCATCTATTATCTCCACTGCCAATAGCCTGTGCTCCACTGCCTCTCCTTCCTTTTCTATGGGTTTTTCCACAGGGTTTAGTGATTGGTGGAAAAGGAAAGAAGGGGAACACATCTAAAAAGATGAGTTTTTAATCTTTTTAACATTTACATGTCCTACTTAGGATTGACACAGACTCTGTCAGTCTGGAATTGTC